TGAATTTCGAGAAAATAAAGTCATTTTCATTACTTACTAGTAATTACCTTTCTATGGTAAAAGTTTGAGGGAAAACTATTTTCTGATCCGAAATGCAGTGGGCCGCTTTTACAGAGACTGCCTCTTAAGTAAACAGAAGGACGGATCTCGTATCCAGTAACAAAAAAACTACAACTGCCGAGAATTACAGAAAAGATCCAAACAAACATCAAACCCCCATAGACTTTTCTCTTGGTTATAAACAAGGTATACCTCATAGGATACTTAATAGCTAGGAATCTGTCGTAGCTAACGGCACAGAGACTAAGAGAAGAAGCACTCAATGTCTGAAAGACAAGAAAATCCAAAACCATCTCGAAAGAGTTGCTTTTCAGTAAAAACGGCCAAGTCAATGCAGCAGACGCATACATAGGCATCGTTATAATACCAACTGATAGATCGGCTACAGCTAGCGAGCCCAGGAAAAACAAGTGGGATGATCGTAGCGAAGGTGTTTTATAAATCGAAAGTAGAACAAGACTGTTTCCACATGTAGTTAACACACCAATCAATATAGTGAAACATGTAATGGTAGTAAGCAGACCGTGAGATATGAAGAAATTTGTTCCCCAGATACATTCATATTCGTTAGCCATGCTTCAGTGTCTTCTGCTTTCCTCTCAATTTTCACCACAAGTGTATTTATGAATTGACTATTGATTCTTGTGGGAAATGCCATATACATGCACCTGCAGATACTTGAGAAAGATCTTAAAAGCCGTTAAGAGATTCATAAGTGTTCATCGAATGAACATCAATACCGCGTTTCATAGACTCATTATTCAGCCAACATCCGAGAATTCGTCGATATTTTCGGTGGATCATGGAACATCATTGATCAGGAGTAGAAGAGAAACTAGTGATGAGTGCCATACACTTGTTTATAATTTCTTATAAGAGATCTAAAATATGAATTTAAGGTGGCTGACTACTTTGCTAAATAATAAACAGAAAATTGTAACTTGAAACTTTTTATCAACCTGAAATTTAATGCTGATTTCAAAAACGGCAAAGAAAAATGGGATGTCCCGAGCTTATTTTTTGAAATAATCACTCCTAAATGACATGCTTTAGTTAGTTGTTTTAATAAACTATTGTAGACAATTGAAAAACTTTTTTTGTTCAGGTTCTACGGTGTGCAAGTTATCGTAAAAATTGAGCACAAAACAAACAGAATGATTTTTTACATTGTTCTGATAAACAGAATTGTCTAGCTGTTGTTTGGGTTACCTTTGGTCAGTTTAGCGATTCAAATTGCTTCGAGCAAAGGTAATCTTATATTTAAAGACCTTTTAGCACTGAATATTGAATATTCTAGTTAAATTACGCTGTGAGAACACAAGAAAAAATGCTTTGAAACTCTTCTAGTAAAATAAGAAACAGTTAGTCTCTGATGTTTGTTGGATAGCGGGAGAATTCTTCTTTGTTAATGCCTCACTGAAAACCCAACACGCTACTGAATTCCTATCCTGCCACATTCAATATTTAGTTAACCGTTTCCTCATCCAAGAGCTAGTTTATCATTTAAAATTTTATTAACTTAAATGGTCTAGAAAATGGAAGTGTATAGTACTTTTGTGCACACTCAGTTCTGTTTTAAAGTGCCTTCTTTTAGCTTCTGACAATATTCACAGTATCGATTCTACACGGGGTAAGCTGTTGAATGACCCTAAAAAATCATAGTTTGAGTGCAACTTCTTCAAGTTATAAAGGTCTTTCCATGCCATTTGCTAATGGTCATTCAACAGCTTACCCCGTGTAGAATCAATACTGACAATATTGTCATAACGATCGCCTCTAAAACTCAACATGAGTAGAATACGAGCGAACACGAGCGAACACGAGCGAACACGAATTTGGTCTATACAGGGTTATTATAGCGAAGACAGACGGGGCCTATACCTTTAAAAATGTCTAACCATTTGTAGATGTAATTACAAGAGGAGCACTTTCTCCTCAGATATTTTAATACCAAGACCAACGGCGATTATTTCAGGGGTTGATTAAAGGCTTTCCTGAGAAGAGACCACAGGAAACACAATGCAACAACTTGCGAAAGACCCCCCACATCAAATCAAGGAGATGAAGCAAAACGTATATGGCAAATAGACCAAATTCCAAATTACCGATGTGTTCCTTGATTACAGACTCATTTACACAGGTTAACCTCTTATCAGTGTCTTAATATTCAYCAATACCAATGGTAAAGTAAAGAATGCACAGCTTCAAAAATAGAATCACTTTGAAACTCGACGGACCTTGACTGGAACACGTGAATATTCTGCACAAAATCTAGGCTAACCCTGTGTAAATGAGTCTGTAATCAAGAAAACAGCGGTAATTTGGAATTGGAAACTGGTACGTCTATTATAATAAACATGCGAATGACACCACATCACAGAGTAGCCAGGTCTTGGTCACAGTACCATTTTCCCGCCAATTCACACGCGTATTCGTTTCATCTTTAATTTCCCGCCATACCCAGAGAGAGTCCTGCAGCACCATCCTTATGTGACCAAGTGGATGTTGAACGGCAAAGATGATGAAACTCATTGCAGGTCTTTTCCAAGATAGGTCGCAGGAAAATAAGTGAAACTAAAACTAAAACTTGAACTAAACAAAAACACAACTAAATAGCACAAAATCTGGAGAACTGATTTATTTTTCAAATTACGAATACTGTTGCGTGATCACTTACATCCGGCATTCCAAATGTGGCTAGTACAAACGTAACGCAACAAACTCGAATAAATCTTCAACCAGTATGTTATCAACCAGTTTTCAACTTGGTTACACATAGAACGAAAAATTCCTCAGACAAATGAATAAACGTTGAAAATGAGAAAATGTTTATTTATTCCTCTTTGAAACAGCACTGAACATAAATGAAGAAAAGGAGTAGAGTGCTCACACTAAATCCGTGAAACAAATACTAACTTTTAGTGCTAAATAGTGATAATTAAACAATAGAAAACGAAGGATTCTGTACGAAATAGTACTAATTAGTACTATATAATGTTCACGGTTTTAGAGCGTGCACTCTAGTAGGTTCATATTGAAAAAATATTTAGTCACTTTAATATATACACATTTTTGATCAAGTAGAGCCAGTGCAAACCATATAGCACCAAAATAGCACCAATGAAACAATTTAAAACAAAAAATATAGATGTGTTTAGTGCTGTTTAGTTTTAGTGCTATTTCACGAATATATGGTTTGCACTCTTACGTTATCTGTCCAGTTGAAATACTAAGAAAAACCCAATTAATAAAACATGCTTGTTTTTCTCTTCGGTCTTCTTCTTTCGGTTTTACTAAAGCTCAGCGGGACCCAGATAATGCTATTGTTCTTGATAGTACAGAGTGTGAAACAAATGCTAGATTGAACAAACAGTGGTTCCAAGTCGAGGTTGAATTTATAAATAAAGTAAACGTATGAACACATCAAGTTCAAGCTCAACCCTCGGAACCGACTAGGAACCATTGTTCGGTGGTCACTCAAGAAATCTGGGAAAGGTCTAGATATTAGCCATTCCGAGGAATAAACTGGGTCGAATTGGCATTACAGTGCATTATGGGCCTGTTAGAGGGGATAGGTTTCCAAGATGGCGTCTTTTTCGTCCCCTAAAACAGCCCCACAATGCACTGCAATACCAACTCAAGCCAGTTTTTTCTCAACCTCGGAATGGCCTTTTCAGTTCCTTGTGGCAAAACTACATTATGAGACACTAAAAGATCTACCTTTCAAGAAGCTACCTGATTTTTTTGAGTTTATCTTTAAAATCATTTAGAAAACAAATTTGTATATCCCCCACAGAGTGTTATCTTTCAACCGTCTTATTGAACTCGTTGAAAGGGAAATTGCTTTCTTCCCAGATGACGGTGTGTTTTCCTCTTTACATGCCTTAGTAGTCCAGTGGTGTTTCCTGTCAATTATCTCAGCCGGTCCCAACGCCAAACAGTTCCATCGTCGCAAACACAAATGAGTATCCTTCAAAAAAAATGATAATTATGCTAAAGTTATCCTCAAAATGCATTATATAATGCAATATAGCTGCACGTACAATTCCTCAATCCATCCCCGTTTGTTTGCACCCCTTCCTTCGGCTCTCAATGCCTTTAGTTTATTCGTTTTTTATTATTCTTCTATTTATTCTTTTTTTTATTAACAAAAATCAGTTTATTCATGCATAATATTTTCTTGAAGTGTAATACTTAGTAATACTTTCGTTTGACGTTTTCGAAAATATTAAAAAGGAATCTTGACGTAGTTCTAATGGACTGCTTGCACTTACAGATCACGTGACCCTATCTCCCTTAAAACGCATACTTACTTTCCATTATAACTGAAAGCTGTTTGACGAATAGCTGCGGTACATTTGTTGTGAACTAAGCTGGCGCATCTACAAAATAGAAAAGTTTTCTTTCAGGGATTTCATTAAGAGACAGAGATTGGAGCAAAGGAAGGTACGTTAAATTATCATAACTTCCTCTAGTAGGTAGGTAGGTCAACTTTATTTAAAAACACGCTTGCCCCGACAACTTTTAGCTGATTTCCACAAGGGGCGTGTGGACTAAAAATAGAATTACATCAAAATATAAATATATATATAYATATACAGCATAAGCTATTTATCTAACTATCTATAATATGCTTAAAATCTTATTATTTCAATGTAATAATTATATGTATAAAGAGATTTCATGTATTTGATAAAGAAATAAAGAGGTCATGTATTTGTTATGGGTGGGAGCTCGAGTCCATTTTTTGGGAAAACGATTTAGTATTTTTCTGATTTCTACAGTCACTGATAACAAAAATTATCCGAATTGAAAAAATAACAACATGCAAGATGATGGTTTACTTTCAAACTTTACCTTGCTTTGGTTGGATCTTCAAATCCAATGTCCCAAACAAACACTTTACCCGTCTGATTACCAGCAGCCATTAACTAAGCAAGGCAAAAAAGAAAAAACAAAAAAAAAACAAAACAAAAAAAAAAAAAACACATTAAGAATAGAGCATAAATGTAGCACCTGAAATCTTAAAAAACATTGGAAAGAATTATTTTGAAACCAATTAAGCTTAATCGTCTCACAATACTGGATCATTATAATAAAATAATCAAAGTACTGAAGATTGCCATAGAGCATTTTAATAAGAATGACAAACTGATTGTACTGACTTGCAGCACATTGCCATTATTAAAGTGCAAATGAGCCCTTCGACAATACTTTCAGTACTGATTC